AATAAGATGTTGAACGAGGGAGGGAAAGGCGGTGGCTAGATAGATTCACACACACAAAAGAGCAAGCCGACAGCCCCGCATTCCAAGCTAATTGGCTCAGAAAACTTGGGGGTGGGAGGTGAGTTTTTCTCCTGTGAAAACTGCAATTTTATACTTTAGTTTCACCGGGACTCAGGGGGTGTTCAGGGTGGAGAAGCAAGCTCCGGGCTCAGGTTTTTTTTTTTTTTTCTCCTCGGCGGGGCCGCCGGTTCTTCGGGCCCCGAGGGAGGTGCTATTTTCGCCTCCCACGCCTCGCGTGGTGTTCTGCCCGCGCCCCGTGTGCCCCCCTCGGAGCTGCCGAGGGCCGGGGAGCTCCGCTTCGCTCTCCACTAAGAGAGTCCCTGCGGAGCCGCGCCCCACCTCTGCTGTCACGGAAACTGCCAGCATCCTGTGAGCTTTTCCCCTTCCTTCCCGGGTTTCCCCGCTCCTCCCTGGACAGACTGGCATCCCTGTCCCTCGCTGGCTGCCGCTTTGGTGGCTGAGGGTGGGGACCCCCCTTGGGGTCTCGAACCGGCAACACGGCCGAGACCCGCCATCGGCAGTGTGGGGCGCGACTGCAGCGCCCCCTGCCGGCCACGGCCGAGCAGCTGCGGGCGCTGCTCCTCCGGCGAGCCAACAGCGCCCCCTGCCGGCCCTGGTCAGAATTGGGCCGAAAGGAGGAAAGAACAGGTTTTGGGTGGGAGTTTGGGTGCAGGATTGTTGTTCTGTTGTGCCACCTCTACACATATATCCTATAATAAAGGGATGTTATTTTTTTTCCTTCTTTTTTCTCCACATTTCCTCGACTTGAGCCTCTTAATTTCGGATTCACAATTGCTTAGAAGGGGAAGCTTGGTCTTCCTCATAGCTTGCCCTCCTTAGTAAACACTTCTGTCTCATTAAACTGAGACACCCTGTAAAGCTAACTACATAATACAAGGGTGAAGACACATTTTAAAATGCTGCATTTCTATGAAGAAGTAATTTCATTAGAAATAAAACGCAATTTTCTCAAGACGCACTTTATCAAAATAATGAAATCATAGAATAGTTTGAGTTGCAAGGGAACTTTTAAAAGTCATCTACTCCAAACCGCCTGCAATAAGCAGGGGCATGTTCAAGTAGATCAAGTTGCTCAGAGTCCTGTCCAAATTGACCTTGAATGTTCCTAGGGATGGGGCATCTACCACCCATCTGGGCAACCTGTTCCAGTGTTTCACCATCCTCACTGTAAAAAACTTCTTTATGTCTAATCTAAATCAACTCTTTTTCAGTTTAACATAATTACCCTGCTAAAAGTCCCCATCTTTGTTTCTGTTACAAAAAGCCCCACAATTATGCTGTTGAGGTACATATTTCACTACATACTCTGTTTCCTATGTAGGCTATGGCCTAGAAACATGCAGTTTGGCATTATTTATAGAAAAAAGGAAAAATTCAATTCTTTTCTTTTTAATAAAAAGACTTTGGTGATATCAGATGCTTCCTTTCAGAGACACTAGATTATTCTATTAATTATTGGTTCGGACTAATTCAAATGTATGTGTGGGGGAAGGGACAGGTCATATTTCACAATGGCGGAGTAGTGCCCTGTTCCATACTCCAGTTCCTTAGAGCCTCCTTGGACAACTCTGGAGCAGTTGCCAGTGACTGGACACCTGTGGTGCTGCCCTACACCACACCAGAGTCCCTAACTCAGCCCTAGACAAGCCTGGGAGCAGGGGTATGTGGTCACAGGGGGGTCAAAGCAAATAAAAGCAGCAACATGTGGTCTCCATGTGTTTGGACCCTGCCAACTGGAAATCTGGAAGCTGGACTCGGGGTGGTAGCTAGAATTCTCACTTTTTACCTTTCTTTCTTTACTTCTTCTCCTTCTCCTAATCTCCTTTCTTAATATTTTGGGTAACTTGCAGCCAGATGGGTTGGATTTTGCTAAGTTGTATGGGTTAGCATGTGTTAAGTCAGTGCTTTGTGCAACCCTTTATTTTGGTTGCCCTTTAAACTTTAGCCAAGCTCCCTTACTTTCTAAAGTTTGCCACTAAAAGTATGTTATCTTTGAGCTCCTGGGAAACGTACAGTGCCTTCTCCCTTGCATTCTCTCAAGGTATTAAAGAACTGAAGGCCCTTTTAATAAATTTGGCAGGCGAATTTTTGGAGCCTTGTATATTTTTCAAGTAAAACCCCTTCAATGAGCTTGTAGCTCGAGGCCTGAGGTCTTATATCAGTGTCAAGGGAAAGATTCCAAAATGGAAATTTGCCTCAAGAAGCAAAATATTAAGTCCAGTCACTGCTGCCCCTTTGACCATCATAACTTTTGTTAAGAAAGGTCTAGAGCAGATACAACGACAAGTGCAGACATTGTATGTGACATTTTTTGATGACAAAAGAAAGGAAGAGAGGAAGGAAAAGGTTTTGCTAGTTTTTGTCCTCCCAAAACAATAAGGGCCTGTCAAACTCAAGTAACTACTCTAAGAAAAACTCTGTGAATAATCTGGTTAAAAAAGCTGCACAAATGCTTAATTTTGCAATTTTGTCCCCTTAGGGGAAAATATACAACTACTGTTAAAACTCAGGCTATGATACCATGTCAGTTAGGAAATATATTTGTTTCTATTGAACACAACTTCCAGGAAATAATACGTAACACTGATTTGCAATTATGACAATCACATTTTTTCTTCAACTTAAATAATTACTGGTAGGACATTCAACGGTACATTCATGTGTAGCTGTAATAAGACACTTGGGAATTAGATGAGAAATTCATGCTTATATTTTGGTTTTGCCTCGTCAGTCATTAATCTGTTAATATTTGAATTTACCATTTATATGGCTGGCTTCCATGTTAGTTAATATAGCAAGAGACAGGTATATTTACTTTATCTTCATTAAAACTAATGGCTTTTGAAGTTCAGGAAAGGTGTACATCCATTCATCACATTTTGACATGCAAACAGATCACTTGAAAATTCATCTTTCTTCTACTGGCTTGCTGTCCCATAAATACATTAATATTTATTATTCTGCTGAACTGTACATCTTTCCATAATAGTAGTATGTTTCACAGCATATAGAGCTCAAAGCAAATTGATCAAAAATCTTAATATTTGCTTCATATATTTATCCAACTGAAAAGTGAAGCAAAAAACAGATGAACACAATTTTTGTGCTCTATCCTGGCTTAGGATGGACCACCAATCTGAACTTCAAGTTCATAGTACATGTAATAATTTTGTTCATATAACTAAGAGTCATTCTGGAAATGCAGTTCCATTCCTGCTTTTCTTCACTTAGTTCAGAACTCTAAAATATATGCACCTGCAAATAGCTTTACATTAAGAACTGCTCTCTCTCTGGATGGACCAGCGATCACTCCATAAGTGTTCACTCCATGCCAACAGGACAAGAACAAGTTGTGGCATGAAGATGCAGCACATGAGCTTGTTAAGTAACTACTCCAGCACAGCTCCTTAAATCCTGGCTTTATTCAGCCAGCTTAGTGGGCATGTAGTGCAAATAAAAGTCTTGATTCTCTAAGGAGTAAATATGGAGTGCAAATGCAACCTTTAGTCATGCTATTTGTTTTGAATTATGGGTTTTTTTGGTATTGAGTATGGAATTTTGTGCAGACATTTTGTTACACATCACGAACAATGTGTGCTGCTAATGTGAATGTGCAATTTAGATACCCTCACAATTGTTCTGGAACTGCCAAAATGTGTGATTTATATAAATCGCTTAATGGGGAGGATATTTTACGACATTCTGTAAAGCATATTACTTTAATTCCTGCTAATAGAGCAATTTATTAGATTTGCTGATATTCTTATCTCTTTGGAGAGTGAAGACAATATCCATTTAGGAATGATAGGATTGCTACGTGGTTGTGTTGTCTGCTATTGCAGACAGGTAAGGCAATACCTATAGTGAAAACTCCATCTGTGTGCAGCAGGGACAATGTTTTCCTCCAAATATGGCTGCTATACTCGCATGCTCTGGATCACAACTTTGCGTTCACGGCTCCTGTCACGCTCATGCTCTAGTCAAGGACGTGCTTCTCTTTCCCTTTATATTTTCATGAATTTGCTGAAGGACTCTCTTTGCCCATTACTACACAAATTCCATGTGATCACAGCAGTGAACTATGATAGCAAATTCTTTACTGCACACTCCCAAGCCATCATATATGGAACTCTTGCACCCTCTGCACTGTGTATCACTCTTATGCAGCCTTTTGAGACCAAATCATTGTAACTTGAAAAGGAGCATGAAATTTTATATGATAACCCGAAATTAAACAACCTTTAAATGATTTTACCTTCAAAATATACCCCTTCTTGCTTTATTTGGTACATCTCTAGATTGTGAATCTAGTAAAATTTTCTAAGCTAAGTGGTCTGCTGGCATTTCTGAAATATTTCATGTCGCTCAACCTGAAATCCTAATTCGACTGAGCAAATGAGAAAGGAGGACCCAATATATGTAAACAGAGCAGTGCCCCTGGGCTCGCATATTTTACCAGGTCTGTGAAACCTTAATGCCAAATTTTGAAGGAAAAAAAAAAAAAGGAACGTGCAGGCAGTAATAAAATCTAAGATAGGAAAAAAAAAATACAAGCTAGAAAAACATATCTGGAAAAGACAATGTCACCCTCCAAAGACTTCCATGAAGAGTAACACACAGAAGGCAAATTCTGAGAGTATGATAACATTCTTCTGCTTCCAGAATTTTACAAGGCACAACCTTGTAAAGGCCTCAACAGACACACGCTGGCAAACCCGCACACCGATGAACCCCTCTGTGATTCCAGCGCAGCAGTGTCAGCCCCGCCCGGCCGGGCGCGGGGAGGTCCCGGCGCTCCGACCGCCCCCGCTGCCGCCGGGGCCGCTTCCGGCGCGGCCGCCCCTCTTCCCGCTGCTGCTCCCGGCGCTGTTCGTGCCCCGCTGCGGGGCTGTGAGGGGGCGAGCCCGGCCCCGAGCGGGATGGCCCTCGCAGGCAGGACAGCGGCGTGGTGGGCGCGGCTGCGGAGCCCCTGCCCGGCCGCCGCCCCGCTCTGCCTTGCGGCCTGGCTGCCCGCGGCGGGCGGGCGGCGCTTCAGCTCCCGCGGCAAGGTGAGAGATGGGCCGGGGGCGCGGTTTCGCCTGCCCGAGGTTGTCCTGCGGCTGCGGCGGGCCAGCGTGTGGCGGGCGGCCTATGCAGGCACGCCGTGTTGATGTCCAGGTGTTGGAAAGATAAACTACTCGTGGGTAGAGTTGCCTTGTTGAGGTTTAGGGCTTGACATGTTTCAGTGATTTCAGACCTAGGGGCGAGTTTACGGGCCACAGGGACATTCGGCAGAACTGCCACGGGGAGGAAGAAACTAATAAAGCCAACTCAGCAAGTGTTGTGCTGGGTAAAAGGTAATTCTGGTATGGGGAGATCACGACCACTGAGTCGTGACCACCCACCCATGAAATCCAGCAACTCGAGAAAGACTACGCCTGGAGACTAACAAGGGAATCAGGGAATCAGATCCCTATGTACATAAGAACATGTACACATGTGCTTTCACATGCTTTCTGATTATTCGGAGTGATAAACACATTCGTTGGTACGACTAAAGTAAAATGCTAGCATTTTAAACAATGGTGACAAGTTTTTGTATCTCTGTTTAACCTGTGCCTCTTTTAGAGAAAAGAATCAAATTTTTTAAAGGCCAGGTCATATTGTACATAGAGACTGTAATCATGATTTATGAAAAGAAATTTTTGTTTTTCAGGAAAAATTAGATATGTCAACGTATCCGGTTGAAAGCATTAGAAACTTCAGTATTATAGCTCACGTAGATCATGGAAAAAGTACACTAGCAGACAGATTGTTGGAAATTACAGGTAGGTGTTCTCATTTTATACTACCTTTTCATGATATGGAAGGTGATGTCTAAGTTTCTATAGCTTTGATTATTACTAAAATTTCTGATATCTTTCGTCTTCTAATGCCACATTGCTTATGCTTTTAGGCTTTCAGTTGTGTAGTGCTTCCTTGTTCAAGATGTTACTCCTGTCATTCCAGCCAGTCTTCCGTTAGATCAGTACGCAGCAAGTTTGTGATGTTTACTGCCAGTGGTTGGGGTGGACTGAGAAGGGGTGGACTAGGGACAGCCTAGAGGTTCTGGACAGCAGTTTTCAAACATGTTGTTGAAAGCGAGGGACTTCAGCTGCTTATACTTATATGAAAGTAATGGTGTGTCCTCTTGTGAGCGAACCATTCTTAACTGCCTTCCATGCTGCTGGAGTTCACTGGTACTGCAGCTGATATGATGTTGCATTGAAACTTTTAGAAATGTGCAGCCCTATGTTGATTTAGATTCAGTGTGTACAATAGCTGCCAGTAATTGAGTATAAATTCCAGGGATTCTCAGTTCCTACATAGACTTGCTTTTTTTGTTCACTCTAAGTATCAGTGAAGTTGTGTTACTTTCGTCTTCAGAGTGATTTATTTTGACTTCACCAGAGTGCTTCTTGGACTTCTTTGTTTTTATTTCTATGTTATTGTTGAGGATAAGGAAAATGCTTCCTTTAAAAGAAAAATGAGGAAAGAAGTGTTAAGGGATCTTCATAAGTGACTCTGAAACTAGACTTTCCTTGGAAGAGGTAGACAGAGGTTGCCTTAGAGGGTTCTTTAAGGTAGGCTGTAAAACAATTGCTCTGTTTCCAAAGAGGATACTAATTTTAGAGCAGAGCTTAAATTAACTGCTCAGAAATACTCTTTGGGAGGGTCTTGCTTTTCTCATTTAAGGGGTGAACAAAACCTGAGAGAGAAGCTTTTGATGAAAGTTATTTTTTTTTTATTATTACCTCCCATTTTTACCTGATGCCTATGATAGAATGGAATTTTGAATTCAGGT